GGGGGGCGATCTATAGGTCCCTGAGTGTGGATATTGCCCTAAAAATGAAGTTATACCCCCCCCCATATGGGTTCCTATGGGGCTTTATGGTCCTATAGGGAGTGGTGTAAAGGGGGGGGGTCCCCTGCCTAAAAGAGGGACCCTCAGGGGTGCAGTTCCCCTATATAACCCCCTATAGGCTGAGATGGGGGGGGTCTACCCCCTATATACCCCTATGGGGGGGCATAGACACCCTGGGGGGGTATAGAGCCCCCCAAAATCCACCCCACTGTAGCAAAGGGGGTCCCCTATAGAGCCCTATAAGGGGGGGCCCCTATAGAGCCCTGTAAGGGGGGCCCCGTTCTGTCTGGATAGGGTTTGAAAACTTGGAGATGGTCCTTGACTCTTTTTTGGGGGGCATTTTTGGGGTCTTTTTAGGAATTCCAGGGTTTTTTTTGCGTTTTGAGGGGGTTTTGTGGTGTTTCCAGGGTATTTTTAGACATTTCCGTGCTATTTTAAGGCATTTCCAGGTCTTTTTTTAGGCACTTCCAGGGCATTTTTTAAGGCACTTCCAGGATCTTTTTATAGGAATTTCCAGGTCTTTTTTTTGGGGGGCACTTCCAGGATATTTTTTAGGCATTTTCAGGGTATTTTTAAAGGTACTTTCAGGCTTTTTTGGGGACATTTCCTGGCCTTTTTTGGGGCACTTTTAGGTCTTTTTTAGGGAACTTACGGGGTCTTTTTTTTTGGCACTTCCAGGTCTTTTTTTAGGCACTTCCAAGTCTCTTTTTAGACATTTCCAGGGTCTTTTTTGAGGCACTTCCAGGCCTTTTTTAGGTACTTCCAGGTCTCTTTTTGGGCACTTCCAGGGCCTTTTTTTGGGCCCTTCCAGAGTATTTTTAAGGCACTTCCAGGTCTTTTTTGGGGCATTTCCAGGTCTTTTATAGGCACTTCCAGGGCATTTTTTAAGGCACTTACAGGATCTTTTTATAGGAATTTCCAGGTCTTTTTTTGGGGCACTTCCAGGGTATTTTTGGGGCATTTTCAGGGTATTTTTAAGGCACTTCCAGGTCTTTTTTTAGGCACCTCCACATCTTCTTTTGGGCCCTTTCAAGGTCTTTTTTTGGGCACTTCCAGGGTATTTTAAAGGCACTTCCAGGTCCTATTTTTGGGGCACTTCCAGGTCTTTTTTAAGGCACTTCCAGGTCTTTTTTTAGACGCTTCCAGGGTCTTTTATAGACATTTCCAGGTCTTTTTTTTGGCACTTCCAGGGTCTTTTTTGGGCATTTTCAGGGTGTTTTTAAGGCACTTCCAGGTCTTTTTTGGGTCACTTCCAGGGTCTTTTATAGGCTTTTCCAAGTCTTTTTTTTTAGGCACTTCCAGGTCTTTTTTTAGGCACCTCCACATCTTCTTTTGGGCCCTTTCAGGGTCTTTTTTTGGGCACTTCCAGGGCACAAATTAACTAGGAACATGGAGATTTAACAGGAAATTAAAGCTCGGGGAGGGATTTCTATCCCTGAACTCCGGGATTGCGATGCCTGGGCGCCCTCTACCGTCCACAGAGGGGAAAATCGGCGATTTGGGACTTTCCTCCTGGCTTTTAATTGCGTCGATCCTTGTTTGCGCTTCGTTTTTAATCAAAATCGCCGTCTTTTCTGTGATTTTATCTCTAAAAGTTGATTTTTTTTCTTTCCAGATTAAAATTTCTGCCCCATTTTCATTTCCTTTTCCGGGCAATGAGTTTTTGGGGCTCGTTAGTGGCTCAAATTAGCAGTGCGGGTAATTAACGCTGCTCCTCGGTCTCCATCAGTATTAAAGTCCCCAAAAATCAATATTTATTGATTAAAAGCAAAGAATTCATCTCCTTTCCTGGCTCTGAGGAGGGGAAAATTCAATCTCTTGTGCTGGGGAGGTTTCCCTGCCTTTTGTTGATTAAAGAAGTAATTTAAATAAAAAAGTGGCTTTGATTACGGCTGTGGGGCTGCGGCTGGAGGAGGAGCACGGGGTTTGGGTGCTTAAAAAGGACGTGGAGGGGCAATAAATGCACGGAAGGGAATGGAAGAGGAGAGGAAAGAGAAGAGGAAAGGGGAAAGGAAATAAAAGGGAAGGGAAGGAAAGAGGAAGTGAAAGAGGAGGGAAAGGGAAGAAAAGGGGAGAGAGGAAGGAAAGGACAAAGGAAAGGGGAAAGGGAGAGGAAAGGGAAGCAGGAAGAGAAAAGAGGAAAGGGAGGGGGAAAGGGGAGAGGGAAGAGGAAAGGGAAGGGGAATGGGAAAGGAAGAAGGAAAGGAAAGGGGAGAGGAAAGAAAGGAGGGGGAAAGGGGAGAGGAAGGAGGAAAGGGGAGAGAAAAGAGGGAAGGGGAGAGGGAAGAGGAAAGGGAGGAGGAAGGGGAAAGGGAGGAGGAAAGGGGAACAGGAATAGGAAAGGGGAAGAGAAAGGAAAGAGGAAATGAAAGGGAAGGGAAAGGGGAAGAGGAGAAAGGAAAGAGGAGAGGAAAGGGAAGGGGAAGAGAAAGGGGAAAGAAGAAAGGAAAGAGGAACTGAAAAGGGAATAGAAGGGAAAAGGGGGGAGGAAGGGGGAAGGAGGGAGGAAAGGGAAGGGAGAAAGAAGAGAAAGGGAAGGAAAGTGGAGAGGGAGGCAAAGAGGGAAGGGAAGAGGAAAGGGAAGGGGAACGGGAAAGGGGAGAAGGAAGGGGCAGAGGAAAGAGAAGGGGAAAGAGAAAGGAAAGGGGAAGAAAAAGGAAAGGGGAGGGGAAAGGACATGATGAAAAGGGCAAAGGAAAGAGGAAATGAAAGGGAAGGGAAAGGAGAAGGGAAAGGAAAGAGGAAGTGAAAGGGGAAGAGGAGAAAGGAAAGGAGAGGAAAGGGGAAAGGGAAGGGGAAGAGAAAGGGGAAGGGAGAAGAAAGGGGAAAGAAGAAAGGAAAGAGGAACTGAAAAGAGAATAAAAGCGAAAAGGGGGAAAGGGAAGAGAAAGGGGGAAGGAAAAGGGGAGGAAAGGGAAGGGGAAAGGAAGAGAAAGGGAAGGAAAGTGGAGAGGGAGGCAAAGAGGGAAGGGAAGGAGAAGGGAAAGGAAACGGGAAAGGGAAGGCAAGGCCCCAGTTTTGGGGCATGAAAAATAAGCAGAAACGCTGTTTTTTAGTTTCTTTTTATAGAGGAGATCTCGTAACGCCGCCAAATTCCGGGCATTTCTGGGGTTGTTTCACCCGGGGATGAGCGTGGGGTTTCCATTTCTCCCCTTTTTGGGGTCGGAACGGGGGGTTTTGGTGGGTGCTGACGGTGTCGCCGTGGTTTCCCAGCCTGGGCGAGCAGTACTACAGGGACGCCATGGAGCAGTGCCACAACTACAACGCCCGGCTCTGCGCCGAGAGGAGCGTGCGCCTCCCCTTCCTCGACTCCCAGACCGGGGTCGCCCAGAGCAACTGCTACATCTGGATGGAGAAACGGCACCGAGGGCCAGGTCTGCCCCCACCACCCGCACTGGGGACCTGACGGGCCAATTTGGGCTAATTTGGGGTTAATTTTGAGCCAATATTGGCTAATTTGGGGCTATTTTTTACTAACTTTGGGCTAATTTGTGGCTAATTTTTGGCTATGTTGGGGCTAAATTTTGGCTAATTTGAGGCCAATTTTGGCTAATTTGGGGCTAATTTTGGCTAATTTGGGGCCATTTTTGGCTATTTTGGGGCTAATTTTGGGCGGATTTTGGCTAGTTTGGGGCTAAGTTTGGGCTAATTTGGGCTAATTTTGACCTAATTTGGGGCCATTTTTTGGCTAATTTTGGGCTGATTATGGCCAATTTTTGGCTAATTTGGGGCCAATTTTTGGCTGATTTTGGCTAATTTGCGCCGATTTGGGGCCAATTCTGGCTAATTTGGGCTAATTTGGGCCAATTTGAGGCTAATTTTGAGCTAATTTGGGCCATTTTTGGCTAAGTTGGGCTAATTTGGAGCTAATTTGGGGCTAATCTGTGGCCAATTTGTGTCCAATTTGGGCCAATTTTGGGCTAATTTTGACTAATTTTGGGCTAATTTTGGGCTAATTTTGGGCTAATCTGGGGTTAACTTTGGGCTAATTTGGGGCTAATTTTGGCTATTCTGGGGCTAAATTTGGGCTAATTTGGGGGCTAATTTGGGGCCAACTTTGGGCTAATTTTGACTAACTTTGGGATAATTTGGGGCCAAATTTGGCTAATTTTGGGCCAATTTTTGATAATTTGCGGGTAATTTTGGGGCCAGTTTTGGGCTAATTATGGGCTAATTTTGACTAAATTTACATTGATTTTGGCTAATTTGGGGGCATTTTTGGACTGCTTTTAGGCTAATCTTGGCTAATTAGGACTAATTTGGGCCAATTTTTGCTAATCTGAGGCCAATTTTGGCTAATTTGGGGCCATTTTTTGCTGTTTTGGGGCTAGGTTTGGGCTAATTTGGGCTAATTTTGACCTAATTTGGGGCCAATTTTTGGCTAATTTTGGGCTAATTTTAGGCCAATTTTTGGCTAATTTGGGGCTAATTTTAGGCCAATTTGGGGCCAATTTTGAGCTAATTTGGGCCAATTTGGGCTAACGGGGTTATTTTGGGCTAATTACGGGCTAATTTTGAGCTAATTTTGGGCTGATTTTGACTAATTTGGGGCCAATTTTTGCTAATTTTGGCTAATTTGGGGCCAATTTTGGGCTAATTTTGACTAATTTAGGGCTAATTTAGGGTTAATTTTGGCTAAATTGGGGCTAAATTTGGGCCAATTTGGGGCTACTTTGGGCTAATTTGGGGCTAAATTTGGGCCAATTTGGGGCTAATTTGGGCTAATTTGGGGCCAATTTTGGCTAACTTTGGGCCAATTTTGGCTAATTTGGGGCTAATTTGGTCTTATTTTGGCCCAATTTGGGCTAATTTGGGGCTGATTTTGACTGTCTTTGGGCTAATTTTGGCTAATTTGGGGCTAATTTTGGCTAATTTGCAGGTAATTTTGGGGCCAGTTTTGGGCTAATTATGGACTAATTTTGACTAATTTGGGGTTGATTTTGGCTAATTTGGGGGCATTTTTGGACTGCTTTTAGGCTAATTTTGGCTAATTAGGACTAATTTGGGGCCAATTTTGGGGTAACTTGGGGCTAATTTTGGCTAACTGGGCTAATTTTGGGCTAATCTGGGGCTAATTTTGGCTCGTTTTGGCCTCATTTTGGCTAACTTTGGGCCAATTTTGGCTCATTTTGGGTTAATTTGGGGCTAATTTGGGACTAATTTGGGGCCAATTTTTGGGTAATTTTGCGCCGATTTGGGCTAGTTTGGGCCGATTTGGGCTAATTTTGGCTAGATTTGGGCTAATTTGAGGCTAATGTGCTAATTTAGGGCTAATTTGAGGCCAATTTTGGCTAATTTAGGGCTATTTTGGGCAAATTTGGGCTAATTCCGGCTAATTTGGGCTAATTTGGGGCCAATTTGGGCTAATTTGGGGTATTTTTACTCTCAAGGGCTAGCGGCCGGGCAGCTTTATTCGTACCCCGCGCGGCGCTGGAGGAAGAAACGCCGCGCTCATCCTCCGGAGGACCCCAGGCTTTCCTTCCCGTCCATCAAACCTGGTAAATCACCCCAAAATTAGGAATATTTTAAGGTGATCTTGGGCTGGAGCAGCAGCGCCTGGGCTCTGGAGGCGTTAATTAACGGGGTCATTAATAGGGGTCATTAATGGGGGGTCACTAATGGGAGCCATTAATGAGGGCTTTTTAATGGAGGTCATTAATTAATGGGGTTACTAATAGGGGATCATTAATGAGGACTCATTATTGGGGGTCATTGATGGGTCATTAGTGAGGGCTAATTAATGGAGGTCATTAATGGGGTCACTAATAGGGGATCATTAATGGGAACTTACTATTGGGCGTCATTGATAGGGTCATTACTGGGGGTCATTAATGAGGGCTAATTAATGGAAGTCATTAATTAATGGGGTAATTAATGGAGGTCATTTAATGGGAACTTACTATTGGGCGTCATTGATAGGGTCATTACTGGGGGTCATTAATGAGGGCTAATTAATGGAGGTCATTAATTAATGGTGTTATTAATAGGGGATCATTAATGAGGACTCATTATTGGGGGTCATTAGTGGAGTCATTACTGGGGGTCATTAATGAGGGCTAATTAATGGAGGTCATTAATTAATGGTGTTATTAATAGGGGATCATTAATGAGGACTCATTATTGGGGGTCATTAGTGGAGTCATTACTGGGGGTCATTAATGAGGGCTAATTAATGGAAGTCATTAATTAATGGGGTCACTAATAGGGGATCATTAATGGGGACTCATTGGGGGTCATTAGTGGGGTCATTACTGGGGGTCATTAATGAGGGCTTATTAATGGAAGTCATTAATGGGGTCACTAATAGGGGATCATTAATGAGGACTCATTATTGGGGGTCATTACTGGGGTCATTACTGACGGGGAATTAATGAGGACTTATTAATAGAGGTCATTAATAGGTGCTTATTAATTGGGGTCAGTGGCTTATTAGTGGGGGTCATTATTTAATGGGGTCATTAATGGGGACTCATTAATGACTCGTTATTGGGAGTCATTAATGGGGGCTCATTAATAAGTTATTGGTCATTAATAGGGGTCAGTAATTGGAGTTATTAATGAGGGCTTATTAATGGGGGTCATTAATGAGGACTCATTATTTGGGTCATTAATGGTGTCATTAGTGGGGTCATTAAAGAGGACTCATTCAGAGTCATCAATGGGGTCATTAATTAATGAGGTCATTAGTGGGGGTCACTAATGGGAGTCATTAATGGGGGGTTATTAATTGGGGTCATTAATGGGAGCTCATTAATGACTCATTGGGCAGCGTTAATTAATGGGGTCATTAATTAATGGGGGCCACTAATGGGAGTTATTAATGGCGGCTTAATGGGGGTCATTAATGGGGCCATAATTAGGGACTCATTAATGGGGACTCATTATTGAGGGCCGTTAATTAATGGGGTCATTATTAGGGGGGTCACTAATGGAAGCCATTAATGAGGGCTCAATTAATGGGGTCATTAATGGGGTCATTCACATCCTCCACTGCAAATCCTCCTCTCCACCACCAAAACGTGAACATTTTGGGGGCACTACCACCCCCAAATGGCACCGAATTCGGGTCCAAATCACCCAGGATTGGTTGAATCCCTCGGCGGGGCGGGAAATCGCCGCCTACGGGGAAATTCGGGGGAATTTGGGTGCTTTTTGGTCACTTTTTCGTCCCCGCAGACGCGGATCAGAGCCTGAAGAAGGAGGGCTTGATCTCGCAGGACGGCAGCAGCCTCGAGGCCCTTTTGAGGACGGACCCGCTGGAAAAACGCGCCCTCCCGGATCCCCGCATTGACGACGACAGCCTGGGAGAGTTCCCTGTCACCAACAGCCGCGCCAGGAAGGTACGGCCCCAAAACCGCCCTCTTTGGGGGGAAAAATGGGAATTTGGGGGGAAAATACGCGTATTTCCACTGCTCCATGCTGATTTTCCACCTTTTTCCTCTTTTTTTTCCGTGTTTTTTAGCCCCAAAATTCAAGGGGAAAGGAGTTTGCGGTCCCAAAATTTGGAGGAAAGGGAGTTTTTGGCCCCAAAATTCATTGGAAAGGGAGTTTGTGGTCTTAAACTTCAGAGGAAAGGGAGTTTTTGGTCCAAAAATACAGAGTGAAAGGGAATTTGTGGCCCCAAAATTCGGGGAAAAGGGAATTTGGGGTCATAAAATTC